TTATGATCTTCAAATTATTTTTGACTCCTCTCAAAGCTTTACAACGGTTCTGTTATTTCTGTTACCAAAGGGAAAAAACTGAAAAACTGAACAGTTTGGTTTGTACCATTATTATATTCATAACTTTAATCATTCAACTTGTTGTTCCTCAAAACTTAATGGAATTTAGTCTGTGACATATATGCAAGCGAAAACACTTCATGAAGTGAGTAAGTCTTCTCATCCACTGAAATGTTTCAATAGCAACTTATACTAATTTTACAGTTCTAAATGCTCATTTTGTGAGGTCTTTAACGTATTGGAGGCCTTGTTTGGTGTAGTCACTAACTGTGGACGGGGCGACTGATAGGGCATGGATAGACTTCTGGACCCCTGAGTGAAAAAATGGAGCGATCACAAGACTACATTATATTCATATTATATACATATTAAATTTACATTATGTGTGTGGTAAAAACTGATTATATACTAACATCTTCCACCACATACACTATCATTTACCTGAGTTCCATGCATCCAGTGGTGAGAACTCAATTTTGGGCGTGGCAGGAAGCTAAAATATATCATTAAAAAAAAAACATTAAAATAAAGTGACTTGAAACAACATTGAATAATACCACACAGACAGCACCATAAGAAGTATCTGGTCAGCAATACACATCAGTTACAAAACTACACATATACTACCATTCAAAAGTTTTGAGGTCAGTAGATTTTTTTTAATGTTTTAAAAGCTTATGCTCACCAAGGCTGCATTTATTTGATAGAAAATACAGTAAAACAGAATTATTGTAAAATACTGTGAAATATTATTACAATTTAACTGTTTTCTATTTGAATATATTCTAAAATGTAATTTATTCCTGTGATGCAAAGCTGCATTTTCAGCATCCAGTCTTCAGTCTCACATGATTCCTCAGAAGTTGATTTTTTTCTGCTTCATATTTTTCTGAAAACCGTTATATATATTTTCCAGGATTCTCTGGTAAATAGAAAGTCCAAAAGCATTTTGAAACCGAAATCTTTTGTAACATTATAAATGCCTTTATTGTCACTTTCGATTAAATTAATGCAACCTCGCTGAATAAAAGTATTAATTTCTAAAATAAATAAATAAACTTTCTTGGCTCAAGCTTTTGAAAGCTAGTGTATTCTTATACCCGCTGTCACACCTTTGTAAATAAATATCAGGTAAGTTCTCATTGATGACTTCAGTGCTGTCATCTATCTTACTTTAAATACCCTTACACCGCATCAAAAGTCAAAGGCTCTACTTTAGGTTTCATTAATAAACTCAGTTTCAGAACTTCTCATACCTCGAAGCTGAAATACTTCATCCACTCCTCCACAGCAGGTGGGAAGGCAGCTTTAGCTCGACCCAAGACGACAGATCCCTCTTTACCATCTCCAAGAAGTCCTGAATCATATGCAACATATAGGGCGCCACCTGCAATGGTAAATTTTGTTGCAAACCTGAAACATACATCAACACAGATTCAGTCATTCAAAGTCATAAGTCACAATGAAATAAACAGTAGAGATGTGTGCAAGCTACTTGAGTTATGAATGACTTGTGCCGGTATTCGGTAATGCGATATATCACGGTAATGAGTAGCTATTGCTCATTGTGAATGTTAATGCATTAACTAAGGTTAACAAATGAGGTCTTATTGTAAAGTGATACCTATTGGTCTTTATAGTTCTTTTGCACTTTAATCCGTGTAAAACTTTTAACTTTATACATTTTTCTGTATTTCTTTATTGCATTTAAATATTCAGTTATTTTTGTTATAAGAAAAAAGTTATTAAACCTGTTATCCTGTATTATGACAGCACTTTTTAAAACTAAATTTCAATATCGTGATAATACCGTATACCGTGATAAAAGCATGAGCAATTAATCGCAACATGAGAATTTGATACCGGCATATCCCTAGTTATGAAACAAACAATATTAACGTTTTAGCTTAACTAAAATTCAAAACAAAAAGCCAATATTTCATGTTTACACTCCTTATGTTCTTGCTAATAAATATACTTAACGTTACTAGCAGACTAGCTCTCCTTAACCTACCAATAAGAACTCGAATACATGCTAATTTCATTTATAACTAATACAAATATTATCAAACTATATAAAATATAATAATGCACAAAATATGCCGGGCAGCATAACTCTCAAGCCCAAACAGACACTTGTAAGCTAACTGCTAATTAGCTGCATATACAACAACGCAAAAATACTAACTTGACTACAGGCAAAATCTTGGCAGCCATGGTCCTAAAAGCAAAGGTATGCTATATAGCACAAAACTGTGAAATAAAACCCTGCTTCACAGGATATTTTGCTTTATCTTGACAGCGAACTCTACTGACAAGGGCATTTGCTCCAGCAGAACGAGCTGGTAGCAATAAAGTTCGTTTTGAATGCGGTAAGACTTTCACTATCCGCACGTTCGACGAAATAAACGTCGGGTAAATAAAAACATGTTAAATGTGGTATAAGTAATTTTAAAAATTAAACGATTTAAAAGCAGACGATTTTAAAAATGACTTTAATAGACGTGTGGTGTTATTTATTTGATGAATGTGCCGCCGTAATAACCCGCTGAACTTAATGTCAGCTGCTTTGTTTCAGTATTATTATTTAATTGTATTTATCATTAAAATATGAATTTAACGTGATATTGTGATTTAAAGTTAACAGGATAACGTTATTTATATTAACTTAAACGACAAAAAAGTTAGTACTGGATACTTTAGCCATGTAGTAGGCTAGTTACTGAAAATTAATCTAGCCTAACATGACTTTCGGTTTTTATTTCCTAGCCAGTCATTTTGTTCTGAATTTTAAAAACACACATACACACAAAGAAAAACAACAACTGGATTAAATAATAATAATAACAATTAAAAAAAAAAACGGTTTTTAATATCCCGGTTATAAAATATACAGTGTGCATTTATTGCTCACAAGATTATTTGCACCACATAAATCGTATTGTACTTTGATATGACTCCGCCTTTTGACACACATATGATCCGGTTCTGCTAGTTCGGTTATAGCAACTAATGATTTTTGACAGTTGATTGGTTCAGCTGCATAGCCTACTTCTGGGCATTTTAATCTTCCAAAGATTTCCTTAAATGAATCTTTATGCCAAGTTATTGTTGCTGGGCAGCATATGCGTTGCTTTCGTTGCGGTTCGATGGAGTGCTCCGTCATTTAATAAGGGTGAGTTGAATGACCTTTCTGTTTATCTACGTGTAATAACTTACAATTTAATATTCGTATAACCTGTAATACCACACAAAAGTCATGTGCAAGACCCGTGATTAGTCAAACCAGGATTTAGGAAGAATGTTTTTTTCCCCCTTTCCTTTCTTCTGGCAAGATTTGTGATGGACCAATACTGTTAAGGCTGTTCTCTTTTAATTTTGAAATGGGACATATTATTTTCTCTTTAAATTCTTTTTATATATTCCTCAAAACCCAGATATCATAAGGTTTTATTACACAAAATAAGCAGGCTTTTTTTTTTTTTTAGAAATTGTTTATCAAATATAGCCTACAAGAACAATATTAACTAGCAAGAAAGTACATAACTCAGCTAGTACTAACAAGTCATGCCATTTATTGTTATCTCTTTGTGTCACTTTGAGATATTATAATTGGCTGTGTTGTGCAAGGCAAGATAACAATTATGTGAATGAATAAATAAATATGCATTATGCCATTTTGCTAGCTAAAATAGTTTTTAATATTGTGTTGTTCACCATCACAGTGAATAGACGATTGTGTTTAAGAAAGAAACATGACCTGAACACTGTTGAACTGGCAATTCATAACAGTTTTAATATGGAGTTGATTATCTCCCATTAAGATCATTGAAAATAGATTTTCTGCATTGGGCAATGTGATAGATAATCCTTGATGTCCAACATTTGATAGTCATCAACATGAACTTGCATGATGATTATAAAAGTGTCCCACAGATCACCACATAGTTTCTCAAGTATAAATATTGAGTACTTTTGCCAAAAACCCCACCAAGAATCAGTCAAGGCTTTAATTTACCAGGCCTCTATGACATTTATGCAGTTAAGGATGTGTGACAAGCAAAGGAACATCTCCGTCCTGCAGCAGTTGTACCACCTTGTTTTACCCTCAAACGAATTACTGTTACCGCAGAGCGTTTGTTGGAGTACAGAGAGGCTATTGGAAAAGTTTAATATAACTTGCTACCCACAATCGACGTGACTAATGGGAATTCAAGGCCATACATAAAATCTTTTAACAAACTGATAAACTGTGATAAACCTAGAAAGCTTAGAATGCTGGATTTGTCATTTGACATTTATGGACATTAACTACACCATTATGGCATTATGAGGCATTTTATGCAATGACTGTCATTTGTCTATACTCTCACATAGCCATGCCTTCAGATTGGCGGTAGAAGTTCTCGACTCCATAGCAGATTTCATTGCCCAAGAATAACCCATTTAAGCGACGTGTAAAGCAATGTTGGTTCTGTTCAACATCATGTTTAGTGGCGTGAAAATGTAAAGTCGATTTTAAAGACACACACATCTCTCTGAAACCCTGTAGAATTCAACCAATCAAATGACGACTTTGAAACTCCCAAAGCATGTCGCATTTTGTGTGCCTTATGCATCAGACGTTCACCCAACGGTCGGTGGGGCATGCAAATAGCATCACTGGTGATAAAGAGTTCTATTGACATTTGCTGCATCGCTCACGTTCAGTGTAGACATGGTGTTAAGGGCTGTTTCTATTATATTTCTATTGTTTTTCTACATTAACGTGCTAGACAGACATGTTTGACAAATGCGCTCAATTTTCATGCATGATACAGCATTTAAAAAATGTGGCGCTCAACTTGAGACCATTTTTCCCCATTCGACTGCCTGCATCTCGCATACTGGGTGAATGGCCCCATAGTCAACATCATACTATGAACTCTGTCTTTTTTAGAGTCCTTGAAAGGTGCCAGGGTGCTGGTGACTGGCGCCAGTACTGGCATCGGTGAGCAGTTGGCGTATCACTATGCCTGTTTAGGAGCCCAACTTGTTATCACGGCGAGGAGAGGAAATGTCCTAGAACAGGTGAGTTGGGTTTTCTTCTTTCATTCATCATTTACATGATTCACGGATATCTGATTGCTTCATTCATCTCAACTCAGGTTGTGAGTAAGTGCTTGGAAATGGGGGCTCAAACGGCCTTGTTCATCCCTGCGGACATGGCGAGCCCCTCCGATGCTGAAAGTGTGGTACAGTACGCCATCGAACAGCTTGGGGGTCTGGATTACCTGGTTCTGAACCACATCGGGCCCAGTCCGTACAGAATATGGGATGGAGACGTGGAGCACACACGATGGCTGCTAGAGGTGTAGAATCACAATGAAAACCATTTGTATTGACAATAGTGACTTAGTTCCCCCAAAAATGAATGTGGACCAAAAAGGACATACTGTAAAAGCAATGTAGTTCTCAAATCTCATTCACACTTCTTTATTATAATTTTTGGGTGAAGCATACATGTTGCATTTGATGCCATATAACTAAAACATGTGATTGATTTGTCATTCATTTTATACCTTCTTATAGGTGAATTTTCTTAGTTACGCACAGATGACTCAGAAAGCTTTGCCAACTCTTGAAAAGAGTAACGGATCAATAGTTGTTGTTTCCTCCCTGCTAGGTGATTAAAATATGACACTTTTCTCACAATTGTCACTGGTTTAACAAACAAACAGATGCTGGAATAACGTCCAACTCTTTTCCACAGGAAAAATATGTGGCCCCTTTGCTTTGCCGTATGCCGCAACAAAGTTTGCACTCAACGGTTTCTTTGGAGGCCTTCAGCATGAGCTAGCTATGCAAAAAAGCAATGTGTCCATAACCATCTGCATACTCGGCCTGATCGACACAGATAGCGCCATGGAGAAGATCAAGTAAGAACAAGCTAACATCAAGATCTTTGGTTCTCTATGCTAATAAATGCAATGCAAATTTAAAGTTAATTAAAAATGGACTCAATTTCTGCTCATGAAAAACTTTTAGACATAAAGAAATTAAAAGTAATTCTGAGGAATTTGGGGGAGGGCTTTAAATATAAAAATATTATTTTTTAATACCTTAAGTGTAAGACGAAACACCATTGAAAAGGAATCAAACAACAGATAATGAAGCGGCAGAAATTAATAAGCAAACGTCATGTCTCCAGGCCAGTAGATGGCAGTATAATGTCCAAAAGAAAAAATAAAATATATACAAAGAAAAGAAAGTGAAACATGAACAAAAAAGTTCAAATTTAACAATGTTTAATACGGTAGAGTTTAAGTTTTGCCTAGTGGTGCTAGCTCAGTACTACTTACAAACAAATTGGCAGACAAAGTCTAATTTGTGGTCATATATAACCCTTACTTATGCAACTCAAACATTATCACAGATTACCACTTGAGTTACTGATAAAAGGCTCATTCTTCATATCTCTGATGTGTTTAATGCAGCGGTTACATCAATATGACCGCCTACCCTGCACACGAAGCCGCCTGGCACATTATCGAAGCTGGAGCGTCTCGACAGTCTGAGACCTTTTACCCTTGGTACACCTTCTACGCCTGCCTCTTCAGGGATTGGTTCCCCTACTTCAGGGATCAGGCGATTCAAAACTCCTACACATATAATCCACAAATTAATAAGGAACCAGTTACTGGAAGCTGACAGTTTCATCGAAATCTATGTGTGGAGCAGAGCATTAGCCATTAACGTATGTGCTTTGACACACCAAGCCCTGGTGCTCATGAGGGTGTTGAGTTCTTCTCCCTGTTGTTAAAAACCAAAAATAAAGCTTTATAATGAAATAACATTTAACCTGCTGAGAAATATTATATGATTAACTAATGATTGCTATCAGGATGTAAAGAGACTTTCAACCAGCACAACAAAAAATGTTTCTGAAGACAATCACCTTATTGGTGATTTGTAGTATCAAGAACATATTGCTGCTGTAAATATGAAAAGAGTTTAAACATTGTGTATTTTGTCTGTTCACAAACGTTATGCACATTTTGGCAGAAGCTGTTTGTAAAGTCTGTTAAAAACATATTCATGTAATTGGGACGTGAAACGGAAGATGTTTTGTCTGTGTAGACTAAACTACTTCACTTATGTAACGCACTCTGAACTTACCTCATATTTTCTTATCAGTTAAGTTACACACATTATGGATGTATCAGATATTCGATCTGAGGCGAATATCTTGTATAGACTCGACAATAAAGACGTTCCACTAAAAGCTTGCCGCCTGAGTTTTACTGCTGATAAAATCTAACATTCAGAGCGTACAACATTAGATAATGAGAAGCAGTGGCGTAACTTAGTAATGACGGGCCCCAGTGCATTATAGTTTTATTTATGGGTGGGACGTGTGTCCCCACGACCCCCCGCCACTTTTTGCAACATCTCGCGGCACGCACGGATGTACCTAAAGAAACATCTCCATTTGATAACAAATTCGTTGGTCTGTGTTAAATAACAGGCGATCTATCGCTGGAATGTGTTATGGCGAGCGCTCGTTGCTGCTGTTATCAGTTCTCTCTTGCACTGCACAATGCGCAGTCTTCACACAGACGATCGTACGCTTTGTTCTGGTAAAAGCACAAAACAAAATGCACACAAACATGTCCTTGCTCTTGATATACAATCACTGATGAACACCTTTGAGAGAGAACCAGAACCTCGGAAATGCTTGACAAAAGTTCTACCACTAGACCACTAAAGCACACATGCATGGTTAACGCAGATTTATAGATGTATTCAGTTCTGTGAAGAATCTCGCTACTAATTGTATTTTATTATTAATACGTTTATTATTCATTTATATTAATATAGTCGCTTGCAATGTGGGCAGGGCCCGCGTGCGCTGCGGGCCCCCCCAGCGGCACGGGCCCCAGTGCGGCTGCACTGCCTGCACTGTCTGTAGTTACGCCACTGATGAGAAGTTTCAAGACATTTATGGTGTTTTAGACAAAGATTGCGTCCATAAAGGCACACGTTGTCTGCGTTGTAGTAGGCCTACCCGCAGATTATGCAAATCAGGTAATAAAGAATGAGAATGTGACGTAACGCCGCGTTGAGTTCTGGGAAACTGCTTTGTTTATCTGCCATATTTGCAGGATAGCGCTGCCTTTCCGCTATTGAGTTTAGGGCAGTATTTGATTGTTTGTCGTGATTGTGAAAAATGTCACCAGTGTATGTCATTCATACTGCATCGAGGATTGCAATAGTAACTCAGATAATCGTTCTGAGAGAAAACTGGACAATGCAATATGTTTTTTTTGCCTTTTCTATGTGTAAAAACACCAAGGGAAGGAGGTCGCGGAGAAGACGCCGAATAGTAAATCTGTTAATGTCACTGATTAAACCCACTGACTCTCACTCAATAAAATAATCACATTGCTGTGTGCTTTTGAAAGTTTTGATTTGGTTGGTTTAATAGTTAACGTTACCTTCATTGCGAGCATGACTTTCACTAGGCTTGTGAATTAGCAGAACTTGAACAGGGGACTTTCTAAAATGCTTAAAGTGGCTTAATGTACCAAGACAGTGATAAAGACAAAATTGTAAAGCATATACTATGTGCAGATATATAAGATCAAAATGTGAACGCAACGCGTTTATTTACACGTTAAGAATTTTCCTCTCATATAAAGAACGCGCTTAATGGAGACAGTGATATTTAAAGACCACATTCTGTACACACATCTTACTAATAAAGCATAATATGTGTGGAAAAACAGATGAGCCCAAAATATGAACTTTAGAAATCGCTGTCTTAATCCAGTAGCGCTTTCTAGATTACAGTTTTCTAAAGGGAGGAAAACGCTTTACATTTAAACATGTCGCGTTGATATTCTGGCTCATCTGCATGTCTTTTAGCATGACTGTCTTAGCACATTTAACCAGCATTTGAAAATGCTACAAAACTTTCCCCAAGCTCCTAGGGATTTGATTTTGCTTGTCATTTGTTGAAATAAATATAAAAAGTACAGTGAGTTCGTGACTGTTCGCTGAATGTGACCCACAATCTGTGATTCTCCTCCGTGGCCATGGAAAAATGAATATTTATAATGACAACAATTATACTTTGTCATTTAAACGTTTCCAACAAAGAAATGGATCGACTTCTGTCAGCTTGTTGAACACACACTTTTATTTGGATAATGTACCATATGATGGCTGAAGCAGCAGCGAGCGACACTGTATTCAAGCTAATCGGGTAAACACTGTAAACCAAATTCTACAAAACCTAAGAGAGAAATGCAGTGCATATCATACAGTGCGATAAAATAGCTTCTCTTCCCTGCAAACGATACAATGAAGAATTAATGGTTGTTTAACTTAAAAGGTAAAAACAAAACACAAGATAAGCATTTATCCTTATAGAGAATGAGAAGTAACCATGGGAACGGATAGCGTATCCTGCTAATATGGCGGCGCCTTCCCGAAATGCAATGCGGAGTGAAAAGATCGTGACGTAACTCCTCATTCTCTATACCGCGAACACAAAATCTGCTTTGATTTAGAGGCTACTATCACACGTATGAATGTATAATTACAACATTGAGTTACGTTAAACCTCTAAAGAATTGCTGTAAGGTATTTGCACCAGAGTGCATTTGGATGTTATAACACAATATATCCGGAAGAGGGCATCAGTCTCTTGACAATGGCGACAACAAACTCTTTTACTTGCACGTGTTCCCTTTTCACCGTCTCAAAAGTTCGTCCAGTAGGTGGTTAGATTGTATGACCGCCAAAATTAAGACTTTTCTCTTCTGAGCGAGTCCTTCATTAGAGAGATGCTCCACATTAATTCCCTGCAATTATTACTGGTGGGTCTTAATATATCAAATTCACAGAAGAGCTAGATGAACTGAAATTAAGCCAGGCTGTATCAATTCTCATGTACTTGACTGGGTTTAAGAGGAGAAATCAAAGCCAGAACCTCCTCCTACTTAACGTGCACTGCCTTACGCATTACACATACACTAGGCTATCTCTTTTTACTCACACTTTCCCCTTCTCTCTCAGACACACACCCACACATGCCCACATACAAGCTCATGATGGGGCCTCCTGGGGGAAGGAACAGGCCCGGCTGGCTGGGATAGCAGCCAGTAACACCTGCAACAGATTAGAGCTCCTAATGCTGAGCAATAAATCCCCCACCCTCTCCAGCATCACCATGGACATGAACTGAACAAACTATCTATCTATCTATCTATCTATCTGATTTGTGAAAATTAGTCTGAACGATTTAATGAATGTCTGTCTGTTTATCTATAAATCTATCTATCAAGAAGTTATGACTGATTCATGAAACAATTGTTTGGATCTATTCAATAAACCAGTTGATTCCGTTCACAAACAGTTTGAATTATTCATTCTTGATTTAACATTCCGTCAGTCTATCTAGGCATTGATCTAGTCAGATTTGTTCCACTAAAATAAATTTTCATGTTATCCAAACATTTTAAAATCAAGCAAATATAATGGCTATCTTAAAATTTAACCTCCAAAATCCAATTTTTAAAAAGACCCCCAGTTGTCCCAATTAGCAGAATCTAGAAACAGAACCGCTGTTGTTCTGGACCCAGATTTCCTGTTCCCTGTGAGACAGTACTATAGTTAAGCGGTGAGACGCTGGAGGGGGCGTTTGCAGTTAGATGAAAATGGTGTGTTAGCCCACCCTCTAGCCTCCTAACCTCCCTCTCTCCATGCTTTTCAAAAAGCACACAATGGTTGACACCTGTGTCCTTTCAGAGCGGCCACTGTTATTGTTTACACACTCAGCGGAGGGGAGGAAGAGGCCACAAGAGCTGTGAAGCGGGCCAAAGCTGCAGCCCTTTACCTCCCTCCTTCTAATTAGGACACTTCACCCAGACCCAAACACGCACTAGGGGTCTGTGTGAGTTTGTGTGACTGTGCCTCTTCATTTTTGCAATTAAAAGTTATTTTCATTAAAGTTAAAGTAATATGATCTATCTATCTATCTATCTATCTATCTGGACAGGTTATCGGATTCATGAAAGACAAATCTTTTCAGTAATTTAGTTGCTCTAGTTCACCTAAACAGTCTGAATATTGTTTTCACAAATTAAATTGATTCATTATAAAGGTCAACTATCTATCTATCTATCTATCTATCTATCTATCTATCTATTCATCTATCCATCTATCCATCTATCAGACAGATGTAGCAATTACTGATTTATAAAATAATTGTTCTAATGTGTCAGATCTTGAGACATGAGTCAAATCTTTTTCAGTGAATCAGTTTATCTAGTTCACCAAAGCAGTCTGTCTTAATACTATGTTCACAAATTACACTTATTCATTCTATTCACCTACACTATCTATATATGAAGAGTTCGTTTGCAAGAACAAATAACTCAATTTTTAACAATGTTCAAAAATCATGTTTTTTCATTGTGCATTCAAATTAATCTCAATTAAACTGCAGTTGGGTTATTTTGATTAGGTTAAAGCTAATACAATAAAAAACAGAGTTATCTGTTTTTGCAAATAAACTCTTCATATGAAGATAAGTAGTGATACATGATTCACGAAATAATTGTTCTTATGAGTCTTTTCAGTGAATCAGTTCACCTAGTTTACAAAATCAGTCTGGAGTGCAGTGTTGCCAAGTCCCTGGTTTTCCAGCGGAATTGAGCTTCTAACACTGTTGCCGCGGGTTGTTTTTAATGTCCGCGGGTTGAAGCAACACCAATAATGCGATATTTAGCCCCTGAAATGTAAATTTCACTGG